TGTTAAACATTAGGAAGTGTGACATTCATTTGTCCCCTCCTTGCTCCCCCCTGAAACCCCCAAATGTGGCTGAAAGGATATTTGAACTGATTGTCTGATCACAGGGAAGCCTAAGTAGAGTGGGCATTTTCACTGATTCCATACCTCTAAATATTTGTCAAATGAAAATAGGTACATTTCACACCTTCATGCTGACAGTAGCGGTATGTTCATTGTAGTTCCTTGGAACTGTATGTTTCATTCACTCTCACCACCACCACCAGTGCCCAACTAACCAGTTTCCTTTGTCTTGGCAGTAGAGGAGGCCACCAAGCTACAGCCAGCCAGCCACAATAAGGTGCTGTCTGTAGCTGTGGTTCATATTTCATGCTTGTAAGTTGCCTTGCAGGTTCCCCTTTTTGAAGATGGGGACAACATTTCCTTGCCTCCAGTCTGCAGGGATCTCACCTGTTCTCCAAGAATTCTCAAAGGTTATAGACAAAGGGTCTGAGATTACACATTGCTTGTTAGAAGTGGGTCTGGGACCCTCAAAATAAAATCTGAACAAAATTGGTGAAGCAGCAAAGAGTTTATTGATTACAACAATGTTCTTGCAAGAACAGGTGTCCAAAAGTAGGGACACCCAAAATTGATAAAACACCAGCTTATGTTCCCTATACTTGAAGTGCAGGTTCCCTCCCTTGTCTCTCCCTTGGGTGGAGACTACAAGGTTTACAGCCTATCACGACCACCTAATTACTCTATTAACAGTATTCATTATTTACCTTATTTGGTCTATTTCCCTTGCAACTATTTGCTAAGCCAAGCAAAAATACCTGGAGACAAGTGTGAATTGATCCCTGTACTTGCTGTACTTGTCTACTTATCACAGCCACCTTCTGACCACTAGCAGGTGTCAGCCGGTTCTTGCTGACGCCTGCTAATCTGAACTGTCTGAGATTACAAATCAACATTATGCGTAGCTATGGCCTTGAGCAAAGCAACACCATGTCTTGGAATTGCCTAATAGCTGTGGCCTTGTGGCTTTTATATATGAAAGAGCAACATTTTCATTTCTTATACCCATTACTCTAATTTTGGCGACTACCACCCTTGATTACCTTTAAGCCACATACCAACCACTAGTGG